TCCCCGTGGCTCCGATCACCCATCCGTCTCCCATCAGTGACACATACACCCGCTTGGAGCTCTGTTCCCCTCTCCCTGCCTCCTGCACCTCCCTTGTCCCCCCACTGGCATTAAGGATGACTCCATAAAGACACGATGGTCCCCGACAGACACTATGAAGCAGCGGCCGAGGCTGTGAGCAAGCTGGGCATGTCACAGAGTACTGATAACCTGTGGGTCAACAGCTGAACCTCTGCCCTGGTCTGGAAGTGTAAACCACACGCTATAGGATGGACTGTGGAGGGAACAGCGGGGATTCAATCGCTGTTTCACCATAGCCACATACTCTGGAATGAACAACTCAGGCAGCACTTTTACGTCATCTTTCTTAAGGAACCAAAACCACTCATTAAAATAGGATAAGTGACCAGATCATTTGTTCCTCAACTGTCTCTTTTGTAAGAGATGCTCCGTGTGTATGACTAGGGTCAGGATTTTAAATAAGTAATTCCCCACAGGGGGTCACAAACAACCAATCCCGGTGTAATTCAATCTGGAAAGGGGAGCACCAGCTTGATCTATGCTTCAACAGGCATTCCAGGGCTTCAGTGGTGAATCCTCTGGACTGGAGTAGATAGATACGTCACAGGTTTATGCACGTCCCTTAGTGGTGGATGGGTACCCAAGCCTGCCTCATTTTTACTGCCAAACAGGGCCAGGACGTTAGCCACCAAGGATAGAAGACACAAACAGGCAGTGGATATTTGGTGGGGGGGGGGGGGGCAGGAAGCATACTCCCACTCCTGAAGGGGCTATTAATCACACAGGTGACCCCTAAGGACGACAGTCAACAATCGAGGTCCCTTTGCCTACATCTGTAGCCTGTGTGAATCACTCTGGGTTCGGTTTAGCTGAGGCGACTGCAAACCTTTTATTTAGAGAATGCGAGAGATGACAAAACCTGACAGGGACGATTCAGAAAGCATGAAAAATGCTGCCAACACAAACCAGTGCCTAGCTTTAGATATCTGTAGCTCTCAAGCCGTGCAAGACAGTAGAAGTATGACGCTCGGTGTAATTCGGCTGAGGAAGCCGTTGAAGTTGGGTGTTGGGAAAAAGCACTTTTGACTCTCACTGAGTGGTTTTGCTCGGTCGAGACTGGTTTCTCAACCAGCGTGTGTCGGCATCTGACAGGCAAACAGCGGGATGATACAGCGTTGCTAAACACGCAGTGCTGCCAGCGGAAGCTTCCGGAGGCAGCAGCAACACAACCTTAGTGGCCTTGATGTCGCAGCGGTGTGGCCGTAGCCACAAGGCAGAATTCTGGGAAGGGTGCCCAAAGGTGGCCCTCCACGAGCTGCGCTGATCCAGATCCTCCAGCAGGGGGCTCTGAGGGACCCCAGGGGGGGTGCAGAGGCGGGGTGGTGCATGTCAGGCTAACATTAGCTCCCGCTAAAACTGTGATCTCGTCACCGCCCAACCCCCCCACATTTCAGGAGTGTGGGCGAATGGCTGCGAAAGCGCGGTGGGCGAGCTGGGACCACACCCCACCTGACATGGGCGTTAAACCACAAGGCCGAATCATCAGTGAGGACAAGGTCTGGACCTCCCACCGCTAAGGATTTAAACATGAACTCTGACCTGAGGCATGGAGTATAATGTTAGGGGCAGAATGCCCTGTGATTTCCCCTCCCCAGGCCAGGCAGTCTGACATATGCAGGTAATCTGATGCTCAGTCTTATTTCTTCTGCGGTATATGTACCTGTTTGTCTCCTCCGGCTGGATGTGAATCTATAGCCTACTGGTGTAATTCAGTTTTGTAGCCAATATAGCTCAGTGATTCCGTGAGTCACACATCAGCAGCTCTCACTATGTCAAGACCAGAGTTCTCCAAAATTTCCAGAGTGTTCTAAAAGCGTGTGACATGTACTGTCACGTTCCCAGACGTAACATAAACACACTGATTGGGACTCCCTTTGCGACATACCGGCGTGGACAGAAACGCACAGGATTACGGGTCGTAATATAAGACCGACGCAGGACAAACAAGGAGCCAAAGCTTTGAATGTCGGCCCACATGAGAGCGAGAAGCTTACGATCATGAAGACGGGATCCACCACCTCTCTGCACCCCAAGGTGATGACACACAGTAGCTGCTCTCTCAGCCAGACGGTGGATAAAAAACTCGCTTCTCAAAGGTCATCCATACGGAAGAAGGCAAACTGACATCTCCGCTCTTACCTCATTTCTCAAATCGGATGAAATGTCTGAGTTTGACTACACCTGTAAAGAAAAAGTTCTATGTTTGTGACCTCAGCGTCCACATGTGTTTGTAGGTAGTGTGTGAATGGTGTGTTGGGAAAGGGACTGTCACTTTAGCGTGTGTGTGTGTGTGTGTGTGTGCGTGTCTGCCTGTCAGTCTATCTGTCAGTCTGTCTGTGTGCTGATTCTGTCTGACTCCCGGGGAGAATTCTGGAGCCCTCCTGCGATGCCTGTCATCTCAGCCTGAGTGATGGGGTGGTGATTAGGGACAGGTGTGCAGTCTGCAGATTCCCCTGTCGTCAGCCTTTTGCAGCAAGCAAAGCGGGATGCAAAGGATTCTGGGAAGGAAACCATGACACTGTTGCACTGCATGGGGGCTGGGAAAAACACACTGATTGGCTGGTCTTGTCACATGACTTTTCTGTGCGCAGATGGAGGACCACTCCTAGTTTGTCGATGTCTGTATGATCACTGCCCCCCCCCATACAATGATGCACCCAGAGCACCCACCAGGCAGTCTTTCTGGATAATTCCAGGCTGGTTCTGAGAAGCGGAGAAGGGTCTCAGGAGGACAAAAAAAAGGATCTGTTAGCGACTACGGGATGTGGATTGGTTTCGCTTTTATTGCAGGTCAAAACACACAGCAGACAGCTTGGGTGATGTGGAACATGCCCACCACACACCAATCCACATCACTTTGTCTAAAGGGTTTCATGCATTTTTGAGAAAGCCGGGTAAAACAAACCCTAGAACAAATGGGGATTTGAGGTCTTGCTTACTCTGTTCACCACAAATTTGAACTGGCAACCTTCTGACCACAGCTACAGTTTACTAACTCATTGTGCCACAAATCACCCTGGTCACCCACCACTCAAGCCTTTACTGCAGTGAGTGGATGGTCCAAGGGGAATCACACCCCTGGACTTTGAAGTCCCCTATGCTATATTTTGCCAACTGGGGGGGAGGGGGTTCCCCAAAGATATATTTTAGTAATTTGCTGACTGTGAGGGTTAGTTTGTTTGGCTGGCCTGCTGGGAAAATGCCCTGATTGCTTCCAAATGATCTGTAGTATGAAGAAAGCAAACTGTTCAGCCTCTTCAGGAGACCCGGAATCACATCAGAAAGACCAAGACAGACAGACCTGCGAGGGGCCCTGATAGCTGACATCATACAAGTGACCCCTAAGGATAACAGCCAACCAAGTGACATCCCTTTGTCTATTTTTGTAGCCTATGTGCAACAGCATACCAAGAAATTCTGGGCCCCCTGACAAAATATCACCCCCGCCCAGTTTTAAGTATGATTTCAGGCATTCAAGGACCCCTGTCAAGTCCTGGGTCCCCTGAATTTGACAGGATATCCGCCCCCCCACAGGAAGACCCCTCCGTGTGTGAGTCTCTCTTGATAAGGTTTGACTGAGACAAATGGACAATGGACAACACAACACAACCTCTTTCTGTACGAAAAACTCACAGTCACATTTAAAGAGTTCAAAGTGAAGACTAATTAACAAATGTTCCGCTCCCCCTCCCACACCTAAGTCAGTTGCAATTAATTAGCAAGACCAGCATTGTGCTATGTTCTATGCTGGCATTCTGCACCTTTGCATAACTGATTTGTTGGTACCCTAAAGGGAGACAGAGTAATAGGTTATGTGTGCATCAGATACGCGCGTTAACACATAAGGTAAGCAGGATGCCGGCTTTTTATCCCCCGAAATGCAAACATCAAACTCCTCCAATGGTTCTGGCTTCACACTCCATAGGAAGTAATATGTCTACCTCTTTAATTCTTCTCCGTAAAAACCGGAGAAACATTCTCTCCTAGCCATCAAGCGGGCTTGTCCGGCGTGAACACTGTGGATTTGTGGCCCAAAGCAAACTCACCCGATATGCGCTTGAAGGAACCGATGGGTGGTAATAAGCGGACGGTTAGAAGTACTGACAGCTCTGCTTCCCAGACCGATGGTCCAATTAAATAAACGAGGTTGAAAAAGCCTCTTAGCAACCTGATGCTGCAAGGCATATCGGGCTATTTCAAGGTTTTATGCATCTAATACGACTTAATGGTTTTTGTGGAAACACATTTCAAGCCATAAATTACTTCGGACCCGGTGTGTAACTTACTGCCCGTTTATTTTCTGAATTAGCTTTTCTCTAGTTTACCCATTTTAACCAAGTCCTTATTAAGGTGAAATATAGACAAATGTGTTGCTTAATATATTTCAAGTCAGTGGAAATCGCCACGATTGATAAAATAGGTCTACATACAGTATATTTTTAAACTGGGTATTTAACAAATAGGACCGCTTTAATAGAAAATAGAGGGGATGTGACAAGCGTGATTAATTGTGCTGGTATTTCTGCTGTGAAGTGTAATTAAAACTGCATTATAATAATCCAAATTAGCGTCATTAATAAGCAGCGTGGGCTCCCTGCCACATAAGCTGCTCAAACACAACATTTCAGATTACGTCCTATTAAATTCCTGAAAGGGTTTCGCGTTCAAACCAGGGTCCTTTTATGTTTTCGATAATTAGAGATAATAAGGAAAATGTGACAGGGATGATAAATGCCCATAGTGCGGTTCCCTTCGTATTAAACGAAATCACCCGAAGTACGTGACGGGAATGACGTGTAGGCGGCACTGCAGCGGGGTCTGCGGTAACGCGCCCAGAGCGCAGGGTACGGAAAACCCCCCATCCCCCTGCCCAAAGTCTATCCCAACCCACCCCCACGCTAAAAGGTGGCAGGCGGCCACACCTGCCCCCCCCACACACACACACACGCGCGCGCCGCTTTACAGGGCGATCCCCACTCGCCACTTCGCAGTAGACGTGCTCACAGCTCCAGGGACACGGCAGTTCCGCGGCTGACTGATCAGACCAGCAAAGCTCGGATAAGATCCCGGACGGGGTACGGGGGCTGCGCAGTAAGACGTGAGTAAATAACTCCCTGTTTGCTTGTTGTGGTTAAACATGCGTTTGCGAAATACAGGCTTCATCCCGTCTGGCTCAGGGATGCCAGATGTCCATACAGAAGAGCGCATGGGATTAGAACCTGTCACTAAACTGACCATCAGACTCTAGCGGTACCGCTTGCAGTTTGACTGGAAAGGAACTTCTTTAGTTTAATTCTAACCTGGGTGCAGACTAGGCTACCTGTGACACAGCATATAAAAGCAGCTAAAGTGCACTGGAGATCGGGTTTCTGTAGGGTATGGAGTGGTAAAGTATACTTTAAAGCGGTGAACCAGTGCGGACCCATCCGATTTCGTTATTCTGACATGTTGATACAAACGGACGGAAACATTTAAACCAAATATAACGAAACTTAGTCCTGAGCCTATGCATGATGCGACGTATTGCTTTCATATGCTTAAATTGACACCTGTATTAAGTTGGATTAAAAACTTGCTAGTGACTTTAGTTGCATTAACGTGAACACTGAGTTAATTTGGGACTAGAGTGGAAAAAGTATAAAATTAATGTAATTCAAGCGTTAAACTGAACGTGATTAAGATAATAAATACTATAGGTTGTTGATCGATGGGAACTCTCTGCGTGATGATCCGGGTGGACCTGTTGGTTGTAAAATACCGGTAATTTAATTTTTGTAAAGTGGACCTGGCTTTTTTCCTGCGCGCAGTCTTGCCAGTAATTAATCTTATGCCTGACTTCTTTTTTTGGGGGGGGGTCGCTTGATGGATCTAAACACATCTCCTTATTTGTTTGGCCACTTAAAACTTATATGTGCAGTCTGTTAATGTTGCGAGCTTTCTGTCAGCTAAAATGACTGTAACTCAGTCTTATGCCATAAATAATTTTTGGCGGAGTAAATTCAATATGCGGCCAATTCGCTGCGCACATTTTTTCCCCCCGATTTTTATGTCTCTGGGACAGGCGATGCAGACCTGATGCCGTTTGTCCTTCACTTCACTGCCTACGATTTGCGATACAAGGTCGCAGAATAATTATACAGAGGCGCGGCAGACCTTTAAGTCGGAGTGAATGAAATCAGTCTAGACATGAGAAATGTCTTAGGATACTGCACATCTTGAAGATTAAAGAGGGTGATAGCAAAACGGTCAGTCTAAGCACCACTAACATAAACTACTTTTCCCTGTAATTAGACATCAAGTTCAGCTGCAGTCTTGTGACATTATACATCTACAGTACATCTCAAGACTCCTGTGTTCACAGGAGCCACCAGTTGCAACTGAACACCTCTAGCAAGCACTGATGAACCGTGAATAGGATTTATCAGAATCTTGGGCATAAAAATGACTTAGCTGGGAGACTGGGGGAAAGAGTGGTTTCTGATAAGTTAAAACTTTCAAGCAGATTGCCCAGTACCCATGGTGAGAGGCCCAAATACTGACCAGGAAAAAAAGGTGTTGTTTGACATCTTCTTAGGGTACAAAAGTTGTTAACTGAGCTAACGAGAACATTTTGATGGAAGGGTAGTGTTAGAGATCCCTGTACACACAGACTCTGACAAACAGACCACAACCCCAAACATACTTCTCAGAGCAGAGCAGAGACTAAATTTCTCAGGGCCAGTCAAAACTATACAGACAGCCTAGACCAAACTCAACCGAACTTTCACTCAACCACATTTCCACAAAAATGCGTCTGACTATGAATCCAGTGGCTCATCACAAAAGATCAATGCGTCAGGAGTCAGTGCTACCAGGAGTCAGTGCTATCAAGGGTCTCTGCTACCAGGAGTCAGTGCTATCAAGGGTCTCTGCTACCAGGAGTCAGTGCTATCAAGGGTCTCTGCTACCAGCATCTTTAAGAATGCTGTGATGAAGGATAATGAAAAAGTTTAATTATTTGAATTAAACAACTTAATGCAAACCAATGAAACTTTATTAATTAAAACCTTAATTACTGTATACTGTGTTTTCTCAAAATATAACTGACAAGTAAAAATGACTTTATACCCCCCTTTAGCCCCCCCCTTTGATGAGATGCATTCTGCTGTCCATGGGTGAACCCCAGCCCCCCCCCCAGTACATACTGCACAAGATACACACCACATTTGTGACGAGTTTGTTCAGGTGTCACTCAGGAAAGCTGCAGAGAACATCAGGCTGTTTCCCCCACGAGCGACCAGGTCTCGCAGCCATCCTGTCCTGGGGGGCTGATGGGGAGTTGTTGCCTTATTAAGGTGGTGGAATGAGATTTGTGTACTTCTGCAGGGCTTAGACTTTAGTGAGGGGTTTCCGGACAGATTCCGGACACGGGGGGTGGGGGGGGGCATCTCAGAGTGACCTCTTGGCCCCGTGTGCTGGGCCACGTGCTTCTGACACACAGTGCAGGCTGCCAGGGTTAGAAACCTTCACAGGCCCCGAATAGCTGCAGTGGTCGTTTGCAGTGACACCCTCTCTACAGTGTGGGACGTGTAAGAGGGTGTCCCAAGTTAAGATTCATGCAGGGGGGGGCAGCGTGTGCCTCATCAGGTTAAGACCCGTGCCTATGAGCTGATTGTTGCTGGTTCAAATCCCAGAGTCAGAAGAGTGATTTCAATGTTAGGCCCCTGAGCCAGGTCCTTAACCCCCCCCTGATGGGCTGTGTGACCCTGCTTTCTCAAAAATGTTTTTCAGTTTGGATTAAAGCATTGACTGAATAAGTACTATGTAAATTCAAACGCGTTCATTCTTGGTTTGTTGTATGTGTTTTTTTATTCCGATCCTCCTTAAACGTATAATCTTAAGGTCCAGGTTAGCTTTCGCACATCCAGCATATCTGCTGGCTGTGCAGCTCTCAGCTACGCCATGGCTTCAGCTTCCGACAGGCAGTCTGCGCGGGGTAAAGTTCCTCGCTGCAGTGAGCAACTTGCATTTTCCCCCTTTAGCAAATAGCTGTTTCCAAAAATTGAAACATTTGCTTTCATAATTCCTGCCTTCCGCAGTGGGGGGCGTGACTAGCTTGGTGGGAAAATGCTTTGAGTTACAGACACACTCTCAAGTTTCCTAATTAGAGGGGATAGTGTCCCCCTAAGTGACATCACCTGCCCCCCCACCCCTCCCCCGGCGCTTTGGGGAAAGGTTGAGGTTCTTTCGTGTGTGTGAGAGACAGCTGGTTTGACAGCCGCTTCTGTGGGACTTCAAACACCGTGCTCCTCGCACAGATCGCGAGCGGGAATCGGCTTTTAATTTGGCTTCATTATTCCCGTGGCTCTGCCTGCCCCATTGTCTCACCGTCTATGGGAACCTTCCTGCAGGCAACTTGGCAGATAGCAGCACGGAAAAGCATGTGATGAAACTAGAGTTTACCTGCAGTGTCAACATAATAAATTGTATTAGGAAGTTCACAGATCCTCATGCTGCCTTAGAGATTTTAACACGCTATATATCTACGCTTAAGGACTCTCGATCACGTCTGCTTCCCTGATCCACGTGGGTGACTCCATATGGAGGTGTTATCTATTAATATTGAAATAAATATCTCTGATTGGTTAATTCTCCGGAGAGCCATTTCTTCCCTTGTTTTTTTGTGGTTCTGCCCTGTCTGATTGGTCCTTCCTTCTCTGCTTGTCTGTCATCATCGACACACATCCCAGGGAGGGCGACGCTGTTGATGGGGAATGAGTAACAGGCCCGTTCCGGCCACATCGGGGGGTGTTGAGTCTGAGGAGAGTAGAGCTTTTGCTAACGAGTCTGAGCCGATGACAGCTTCACTGTGGTCAGCTTCAGTGTGGGGATGCAGTGTGGGGATGCAGTGTGGCTTCAGGGAGATGTGCGGCATTTTAATCCTTACAGCTGACGCTTCTTTATTGGAGTGTGGAAAAAATAGCCCCTCAGTCTGGAAATAGGACCACAACAGCAGGATCTGTCCCCTGCAACATGTAGGCAGAAGGTCAAAAACAGAGTCGTCACAACATTATCCGGAAGTTACTGCGAATGGCGGCATTTTGGAAGCACCGTGTTCTGCGTGTCCGAGTCTATGTGGGCGGCACTGTATAGTGCGAATGTCGCAGGGCTGTGGTCAGCGTCCATCCTGCCAGTCGGTGATTAGCACGTGGATGCTACAGCCAGGCCACACCCACCTCTCACTAGTGAGGGGGGGCAGGTTAATCCGTACAGCCCAAACATGTGTCCTCTGGCCCAGCAAGAGCCATCTGGATCTCCAAGGAAGGGCCCCCCAGTCTGGGGCTTGTGAGGTGGCCAGGGATTAGGGGAGGGTTAACCCCCCCCCAGGCTCAGGGGATGTCCTGTATCGGCTGAAGGGACAAAGTGATCTTCACCAGCTAGCGCCTTTGTTTACATGCTCTGGGTCCCCAGCCTGAAACGTGATAATGGAATACAGCAGTCGCGTTTGCTAAGCTCCCTATTTGAAGAATGTATTTTTCTGATATGGGTATTGTAGTTTGCACCAGCATGCGGTGGAATGCTAACTTCTCACATTCCGGAGAAGGAGACAGCAGGCAGAGCTGACAGACCCAGGCCATGTACATCTACTGTGAGCGTGTTCATATCCGAAACCCTCAGCCACCAGTCGGATCACTTTCCTTTGAGATGACAAGGTGAGAATAAAGAGTACTCACAGAGTCACAGAGTACTCAACTGGTTGGTTGAAACAGTCTTGGTCTGCATTTTTGATTTTCTGGACCTGACCTATCAACCTCTGGTTCTGGACATGGGAGCAGCACAGGGTGCAGGACCACAGCTGTACTGCACCTGAGCTGTGCATGTGAGGGACAAAAAGGCTTAAACAGAGTGTGTGGGGGGCCCAGGGGTGTGAGGTGTGCAAAATGAGCAAACAGCTCCCCCTCCCACGGCCGACCGTCCTTCCCTCTGCTTGTAGGCGGTCTGGGTCTCCCCCAGCATGCCACCAGGACCTGCACACAGACCTGCGTACATTTTCACCCGTACAACCCGCTTCCCATCTTCCATCATCCCAGAGCGATACAGGGGCAGCCGTGCATTCCT